GCCCAGCCCTTTTTTTGTATTTTATTTAGAGAAAGGGTCTCACTAAGTTGCTTAGTACCTCACCATTGCTGAGGCTGGTTTTGAACTTGTGATCCTCCTGTGTCAGCCTCCCAGGCCGCTAGGATTACAGGTGTGCACCACCACACCTGGCCCAATTGTTTTTAAAGATCACTTTAAAAGCTGCAAGGATGTGAACAGTGGGCTAAGACTGAGGGTGAAGAGATCAGTACGGAAAGCACTGTAGTAATTCAACAAAAAGTGATTATGCACTAAGGCGCTGGGTATGAAAGAGACTGGACCTGACATTTCAGAGTTATTAAAGGGGAAAGTATAATAATTGATAACCATTGGAGGTGTTGGGGAGGGGAGGAGCTAGAAAGACTCAGGTTTCTGGCTTCTAGGGAGAGGTCACAGGAGGAGGGGGCTGAGGGGATGACAAGTTCAATTTGGGACACGGTGCTTGAGAAGCCTGTGTGACCCAGGAGATGCCTAGATGTGGCTGGGATGGAGAGTCAAAGAGAAGCACGGGCCGGAGAAAGGCTGCTGTGTCTAGGAGTCTGGTGCCCCCAGAATTGGGCAGTGAATGACCCGCCTGGCTGGAGGTTCAGGGTGAGACTGTCCTCCATACAGGAGGTCAACTGGAAAGAAGGGAGAGGACCAAGGACAGGATCCTAGAGAATAATGAAAATTCCCAAGTAAGCAAAGGATGAGGAGTTTTATAAGAGAAACACAGAAAGGGTGGCACAGGGAAGCAGGTAAGCAGCATTTCTCAGAGGACTTGACTGCGGAGGCCAGTCGGTATGAATGCACTTCGGGAAACATGGCTCTAACATAGCCGAGGACCCTGTGCCCACAGAGCTTTGGTGACTGACCTCAGAGCACACAAACAATAGCCTAGTTGAGATGAGAACCAGTTTTTCTGATTTTAAATTGGGTCCTCTTCATCACCCTGCTGGTATGCGACTTACTTTTTGTTCTAAACCCTTCAGGGCAGAGCCTAACAGTGATACCACTGATCCACAGAAATTCTGACTTCCGGGATGTAGAGATTCCCTCCTTTGGTAGCAATGACAAGATGATCTCTCTGTGAGCCTGTCAGCTGCTCTGTGGCCATGAAATAAACTGGGAGGGTGGGGAGGGGGCAGGAGGAGGAGCTCCTGGGATGCTTTAGGATGCTTAAAAGAAAAATGGATTTATGCTGAGGATAATTCCTGAACAGATGTGAAACCAAATACTTCATATCACGATGCTGCCCTCACTCTGGAAGGGAAATGAAATAGCAGGATTAGCCTGCTCTTCATCTGACCGTCCTTTGTTCCTTTCAGAACTCCCATGACCAGGGCACATTCGGCTTCCTGCTCCTCCCTTCCTACAGCAACTAGGGGAGAGCCCTGGGCGGGGAAGAGGCTTCCCTTCCTTCCACCCCTCACCAGGCACGGCCCTCCCTTTACCCCAGGACAGGCTGGGTACCCTGTCCAGGGCCATCAGGAAGTGGTATTTACAAATGTCATTTAGAATGCTGATATCGATCTGGGGGGAGGGAGAAATTACAGTTTAATTACAGTGCTCTCATACAGACCAAAAAGTGACTCATAATATTTTTTCTTCTCTTCATAAAAGCCAGGTTTTGTGAGATGGATGAATTTTTAAGTAAAACCCTAACATCTTGATCAGGTAATAACAAGTAAAGCAGAAACACACACAGAGTCCACACCCTGTATATTACACGCGTCCGCGTGTGTAATAATATATTTTCCCATTCATCCAAAGGTGCTAGAGCTATGATCTAATAACTCAAGTGTCAGTGCATAAACTCTTCTATGAGAGACAAAAAGGACTGAAGTTTGGTTTAGCTAAGAAACACTGTGTCCCTAATGATACTGGCAGCAAGGCCAGGAATTCAGAAGGAGCTCGGGACCAGGCTTGATTGGAAAGGGTTAGCCCAGACTTGACCTCTGGTGCTCCCTGGAAGTGAACACCAAGAGCATCCTGGCCAGCCAGGGGCTGGGTCACTTGAGGTATCTCTAAGAGTCACCTTTCAAAGCCCAAACCACTTGTTCATTCATATCACAACCAGGCAAGGGACTGTGTCAAAGGAGGGGTGCCCAGGAGCTGCAGAATTAAAGGGATTAACAAAGGGAGAGGAGCAACGGGTGGCAGTGCCTGCCTCATCTGCAGCTGCTCTTGTGGATTTGGAGCACGAGGTGAAGCTTAAGGGCCTGAAACTATAGTCAAGGTCCTCCTTGCCCTGTGCTGACTAAAGCAACAGAAAGACTCTGGAGCCTGACACTTTTAGGTCGGGCCTAGGGACAGCTGCCAGACTCCAAGTGCACCACCTTCCTTGGAAGCATGAAATTCGAAGGGCAACCTTGGGACTCAGGTCTCTCCACCTAAGATCTTATAGTACTCCTACTGCTCAGGAGCTGGTCAGACGCCTGTTGAATTTACTAGCCTTTTAAGATTGAGATACATTTTACATCTAAATAAAATCCACCACGTAAAGCCTACAATTTGCCAGGTGCAGTGGCGCATGCCTATAATCCCAGTGGCTTCTGAGGCTGAGCCAGGAGGATCACGAGTTCAAAGCCAGCCTCAGCAAAGTGAGGCGCTAAGCAACTCAGTGAGACCCTGTGTCTAAATAAAATACAAAACAGGGCTGGGATGTGGCTCAGAGGTCGAGTACCCCGGAGTTCAGTCCCCAGCACCCCCGTCCCCCCAAAATCCTACAATTTGGTGACCTGGGTTGTGTAAATCACCACGATCTAATTCTTGACCATTTATTTTCATTATTCCAGAAAGAAACCCCACTTCCCATTTCTTTTTCTAATTCCAGTCTGGGACATTCACTAATCTACTTTCCATTTTTATGGATTTTCCTATTCTGGATATTTTACACAGACATCACGTGGCCTTTTGTGACTGGCTTTACGTGCATAGCATAACACTTTCAAGGTCCACCCATGCTGTAGCCTATGTCAGCACTTGACTCTTTTTTTTTTGTAGCTGAATACTATTTCACTGTCTGTATATACTACATTTTGTTTGTCCATCATCTGGTAGACATTAGGTTGTTTCCACATTCTGGCTGTTACAAGGAATGCTTCTATGTACATTCATACACCCACATATATGTGGACATATGTTTTCATTTTTCTTAAATATATACATAGAAGCTGTATTGCTGGGTCATATGAAATCTGTATGTTTAATTGAGGAATTGCCAAACTTTTTTTTTTCAAAGCAGCTATACCTTTTTACACTGCTACCATCAATGTATGAACATTCCAATTGCTCGATATCCTTACCAACTCTTATTATCACCTATTTTTTGATTACAGCCATCTTAGTGGGTATGAAGTGGTATCTCATCGTGCTTTTGATTTGCATTTTCCCAATGGCACATCTTGTCTTTATTTTTGGTACTGTGATACAGCTACATCCCCAGGCCCTTTAAAAATTTTTTTATTTTTGCAACAAGTTCTTGGTTAAGTTGCCAAGACTGGCCTCAAACTTGTGATTCTCCTGCCTCAACCACCTAGCCGCTAGGATTACAGATATGTGCTGCATTGCACCTGGCATCCTTTTAGGTACCAAGTGATCATTTATCTATCTTCTTTGCACCAACATCTATTGAAATCCTTTGTTCATTTAAGAAATTGGGTTACTTGTCTTTTGATTGTTGAGCTGTAGGAGTCTGGATTATATTCCGGATACAAGTCCCTTGCAATATATATGATTTGCAATTATTTCTCTCTTATTCTACAGACTGTCTTGAAGCATACAATGCAAAAATTCTGATGAGTTCCAATCTCTCTGGTTGTGTTGTTGCATGTGCTTTATGGTGTCATATCTTAGAAACTGCTGCTTAGTCCAAAGACATGTTGATTTACTCATAGGTATGTGTCTAGGAATTTTATGGTTTCAATCCTTCAGGTCTTTTATCAATTTGGGGTTAACTTTTGTGTATGGTATGAGGTAGGGGTCAAACCTCATCCTTTTGCATGTAGATAACCAATGTCCCAGTGTCATTTGTTGAAGAAACTGTTCTCTCTACACTGTATCGTCTTGGCACCCTTGTTGAAAATCAATGTCCACAGATGTATGAGTTTATTTCTGGACACTTTATTCTACCTATCTAGTCTATGTCACACTGTCTTGATTACTGGGGCTTTTGTGTTCACTATTAGTTTTTAACGCTGCTTAAAACTCTGGCTCAGTACTGCTCAGTCGACTGCTATTTTGGATCATCCATGCTGTTCCAGGTCTCAGTGCTATTCTTTATGGAGAACCTCCACAAAAACCTGAGTACAAGGAAGCTTTTCATTAAATGAAACAAGAGTCCTTAATAAAGTCTTTTCTTTATTCCTTTGGCCGAACTAGAGATTGAACCCAGGGGGTGCTCTACCACACGGCTATATCCCCAGCTATTTTCTTAGTTTTTAAGACAGGGTAATTTGTTAAGACTGGCCTCAAACTTGGCGATTCTCTTGCCTCAGCCTCCTGGATAGCTGATATAGGTGTATGCCATTGTACCTAGCCTTCTGTTTTTAAAACAGTTGTACTGTGAACAAAATCCTGAGATAAAACTTGGGGGGAGAATTTCATATGGTTAAAATAATTATACTTGGGCTGGGGGTGTGGCTCAAGCGGTAGCGCGCTCGCCTGGCATGTGTGTGGCCCGGGTTCGATCCTCAGCACCACATACAAACAAAGATGTTGTGTCCGCCGAAAAGGAAAAAAAAGATAAATAAATATTTTAAAAAATTCTCTCTCTCTCTCTCTTTTTAAAAAAAAATAATTATGCTTATGTCTACGAAATTTAAGAGTCCACATAATCATTTTTCTGTTGCAGGATAATCAAGAGCAAGTAGTAAATAACTTATGTAAATAGATGTGGTGTGTCATAATTTTATGCAGTACCTAGAACAAACATCATTTTCATTAACATGCTTAGTTTGTTTTTCCCTCTAGGGCTCATTTTTTCCATCTTCCTCATTTACAGTGGCCATGCTAACTCTTCTAGGAAGATGAGGATTCTCAAGTGTTTCTGAAATCTCCAGGTAATAGCGAACCCCCAAAACCCTGTATGCTAGGAGCGGGGACTGGGGCAAACTAGAGTCAGGACATGGAGTTGGTTTCTGTAGCAGTCATGAAGCTGGTGGCAGAGGCGCTGCCGAGAGCCGAGCACTCCATCCGCAGGGGAGGAGACTCTAGAGAGAAAACATGCTGAGACAGAACCAGAGAGGCCTTCCAACAAGGTTCTCCCCTTCTTGCTCAAGAAAAGAGCCGGCAGAGGCAGTGTGCCCAGCGAGAAGACCACCTCCCTGGTCCTCCCTGTTGCTAGGGAGAAGTAGGCAGGGAGCCGTGCTGGCCAATGACATTATGTTTGTCAGAATTGCTAGGCTCCCAAGGAAGCTTTTTAAAAGGAGGACAGATTGAGCTGGCATCTGTCTTTTGCCCGTCCCCTCTTCCTCCCTGGAACATGGACACAATGCCAGTAAAAACACTACCATCTTATGACCAAAAACCTGAAAGCTGATGCTTTAGGGTTAGTAGAGCAGAAAGACAGGAGCCGGCCCGGCGGAGATGCCTCTGAAGAGCCGCACCAGCCCTGGACTTCCTGTCTCCAGCTTCTGGACATGTGAGAAAAACAAGCCCCTGACTACAGACTGCCTTGGAGTGGTGGGGTGTCTGCTGCCTGCTTCCAAGGAATGCTCTCCTAACTCACCCAGGGGTGTT